ACTCATGTTGAAACCTTACAGGTGGTGTGAATATGACTTTATTCTTTCCTGAACTCAGTGAGTACTGGCCTGGCTGGTTATAGGATTCTGTGTTGCACATCATTTTCCCTGAGTTTTAAAAGCCCCTCACTGCTGTCTTCTGCCTTCCTGTGATGCTGCACGAAGCCTCTGTGCTTGGGTGAAGCCTGTCTCACATTCCGGAAGCTTGTTGGATCCTCTGTGCATTGTGTTGTGCTCTGGTGTGTGTTCTCTTATTTACGCTGTAGTTTTATAAAAGAAAGTTTTCTTGAATTATTTTGCTGATGATTTCATAGTTCTGTGTTCTTTATAGAATTCCTAATGATTAGATAGCATAACTTGGACCGAAAGTTTCTTATATTTTACTCCCTTTCCATTTTTCTTTTATATGCTTCATTTTAAGGGAGTTTCCCTTTATTTTCTATTCCACAGTTCTTCAATTCTGCAATCCTAATTTAAATTTCTAAGACCTTCCAGTCTCACAAACAGGATGCCCTGTTCTTACCTCAGTGGTGTACCTCCTGTCGGCAGCTCTCTGGGGACACTGTGTGTGCTTGAGAACTTGCTTTCTTTCCCATTTGTGTGGTTGTCTGGTCTCTTCGTCTTTGCTGCGATTCCCGTCACTGGTTATCCTTGGAATCCTGCTTATGTATGAGATGGAGTCACGGAGAGTGAGTGTGTGCAGTAAACCTGAGGGGTGGGCTCCTAGTCCAAGTGTTTCCCTTGTTTTAGCTGATTTGATCTCTCCAGTGACCCCCGTCGTAACAAAAATGTTTCAGTTACATGTCCACCTTACACAGTGCTTGTCAGACTTGGGATTTGAACCCAGGCAGCTGGACACCATACTTGCTTCCTTTTAGCCTTTATGCTGGCCTGTCCTTCAATGAAGTCAGGAGCTAAAGGGAAACTCTGTCATCTGGGTAATCTGACCTCACCTTCCAGTGCAGCTAGTGGAGTAAACCTGTGTTCTGCTGGGGGAGGAGCTACAAGTGACCGGCTGTATGGGTTTGGGCAGGGGATTGAGGTGCAGCCCCGACTCGGGTTGGATTTTAAGTCTCACCTTTGACCAACTACTAGTGGCCCATTCTCGAGCCTTCTGTGCATAGCATGAGGGAGATGGGCTGAGCCCCCCCCTTCTCATGGGCATCAGTTCCCCGCCTTCACTTCACACTTCTGTACCTTACCTGTTCTTTGAACCTTGTTTGTATTTAGGAGCAAACACAAGCATTTTAATGTAACGTCTTTTTTTTTTTTTTTTTTTTTTTTTTTTGTCATTTTAAAAGAAGACTTTTCAGTGGAAACTTGGATATAATGTACGTTTTAAATGCTCTATTTGAAATTACTGTTCAGTCCCTTCAGTCTGTCTCAAAGGTCCCCTGATATTCCCAACTTGGAGTATGTCCCGATACTCCCGACTGATAGGTCCCCTCTGAAGTCATCTCCCCACACTGGGCAGTTTTCTCTAGAGCTTTCACACTGTTTGATATTTGTGTGCCTTCCCTAGGATGTGTGCATTCTTCCACACCACACCAGCTTCTCAGAGACCTCGACTGACATCTGTGGAGTGACTTCAGAGGGTCTGTTGTACTGTCTATGTACATGTTTTACTTTCTGGTCTCTTTTTCTCAAACCATGCTTTAAAAGTACCATCTTTCTATTAAATACCGAGGTTGGCAGAATAGGGAATCAAAATAATAAAGCAACAGGATAAGTTAATTCACATATAAGGAGTTCTGAGATTGTTGAACCTAGATATTATGAAAACCTTTAGTCCAAGATGTAGCATGAATCTTAACAGTTCTTATTAATAAAATCAAACCTGGGTCAGGTATTGGGGTGAATATTGGAAGATCAGAGAGGCAGAACAAGCCACAGCTACCTTACCTGGCCAACTTCTCAGTTGATCTTGTTTCCTCAGACTGGAAGCCTCTGTGTTCTCATATCCGAATGGCTCTCAGCTGAACTGTGCTGTTCAAAACCTAAAAGCTTAACCAGTCAAATGTTGAACCAGCCAAATGCTTTTAGTTTCTGTCCTCATGCCTTATATACCTTACTGCTTTCTGCCATCACTCCCTGGGATTAAAGGCTCGCTTTCTGAGATTAAAGGTGTGAGTCACCATGCTTGGCTGTATCCTTGAACAGATGGATTTCTGCCTCTGGAATGCTAGGATTAAAGGCGTGTACTACCACTGCCTATCCTCTATGTTTAATGTTGTGGCTGTCCTGCTCTGACCCCAGATAAGTTTATTAGGGTGCACAATATTTTGGGGAACACAATACCACCACATTGAGTCCCTGAACTAATGGGATATAGCTCTGAATTAGAGTCTCATCCTTCTGTGACTTGGGTGTTACATGGTGTTGGCACATCCTGGTAATCACTAGTTCTAATGCTGTAACACAAAAATGCTTTATAAAGCCTTATCATGACACTTTTAGATAAAACCAAGGTTTGAATGTATTCAAGTGACAGAATCCATCAAGAACCACTGTGCTGTCCTTCTTAAGTATTACTTTTTTATTTTTGTGTAAATTGCTTTCCTTTTTGTCTGTTTGTGTATTGTGGGCTGCGTGTTTGCATGTTCATGTGTGTGTAGGGGGTGTGGAGTCCCAAAGTAAATGTTGGGCATTGTTTATGATCACTGATTTTTGAGGCAGGCTCTCTTGTTGAAGCCAGAGCTGGTTTAGTTAGCCACCTTGCCCAGGATTCCCTCTCTCTACCTCCCGAGTGCTGGGATTACAAAAGGAGTTTGACATCTGCCTGGCTTTTTATGTGAATTCTGGGGGTCTGAACAATGGTTCATATACTTGTGTGGCAAATGCTTTATCTACTGAGCTGTTTCTCAGGCCACTGTAAAATCGAGTTTTAAAAACCAGTGCTGTTCACACCTTTAATTCCAGGACTCAGGAGGCAGAGGCAGGCAAATCTCTGTGCATTTGAAGACAGCCTGGTCCACATAGCAAGTTCCAGGCCAGTCAGGGCTACATAGTGAGACCCTGTTCCTAAAAAACACACATACACACAATCAGCAGCAAAAAACATCTGTTGTTTTTCTTCTCTTAAATTTTCAAAAGGAAACTATCATGAGGTTTGAATCTAAATTATTTGGAGAAAGGCGCTGGCGTTAAAATAGCATTTCTGTAGCACCATATCTTAAGATATCTGGGACACATTTATTTACTCTTAAATAAAACATGTGACCAGTTTTTTGACAATATAGAAGAGGAACTCTGCCCTGTCTTCTTTGGTGTGTAGGAGTTGCTGGAACCTAGAGCATCAGTGGTCACCATTCTGCTGTTTTGCACAGCTCAATCAGAACTTAGGAATCCGCTTCCTTACCGCAGGCGAGCATGCTGTAAGCTCATGTTGTCGACTCACTGGCACCCTTCCCGTCCCGTGCCAGGATGTGCCTTGTGAAAACACAGGAGCATTAACTCTGAAAACTCCAGTCTTTAGAGGTGAACACCAGAGTCTGGTGGCATTCATAGATGCTAAAAATAGTTTGTAATTGGCTCCGGAAGTTGTGGTGCCGATGTGAAAGGACAGTTGCAGTGTTTGCACTTTAACTGTTAATTATTAGGATGCGTTATCGTCTTCTCCCATAGTTCCTTCCTGACAGATGTAACCAGAGGAGGATTTTCCTCATTTGAGACATGGTTAATGTGACGTCATTTCAGACTAACTACCATCGACAGTTCTTAGAAGTCTGGTGCTGCATATTCATGACTAGCTTAGCTTTAACTTCTGAATTTATGAAAAGAAATACATCTTTTGAGAAATGTAGTCAGCCTATGAGGCTCTGACGACAAATGGTGGCAGCGGTGCTGGCCTCCTCTGTGATAGCAGCTCTAGTAGCGCAGTGCTGCTCATAAAATCATCTTACTCCCATCCACATTCATTCCTTGTACTGTCTACTTTTTTGTGAGAATGAATTTGTTTGGCCTAGTGACAACAATCTGTGATTAGTGTATTTCTTTGCTGTTACTTTTTGAAGTGGGTCGAGTTTTCTTGATGGAGTTGTTGGTCAGTGTTTCTCAAGAAGCTGAGCATGGCTGCTGGTGACCTGGAGACAAGGCCTGCTGGGCTTCACATGGCGCTTAGCTTCTGCTTTCCTGTTCTCAGTTGTAGGGAGAGAACACTTAACGTAGGTAACGATTGCTCCTTGGCCTTGTCAGGCATTTTCCTTCCTTTCTGTTGGGAGCCAAGGCCTCGGCTTTAGTTTTGAGGCCTAGGTGCTAAGGCTTGACCCTTGACCCCTCTGTAGTGTATTTAGGAAGAAGCACAGCATATGTTATGCTGCAGCTTCTCTCTCTCCCACTCGAGAGTGAAGGTGTGGAGGATCCTGGATATCCTCATGTTTTCTGCCCTGTCTCGTGAACACACGACTTGATTTACCTTGATCAGCCCAGTAACTTGCTCCACATTTTTCCAGAAGTGCAAAGCAGTTTCAGCTAAAAATACACATATCAAATGCTCCAGAAGTCGTGGCCACAGCTCAAAAATGCTGATCAATTTTGAAAATCTAACTCAGCCCGGCCATGAAACCGAGGGAAGAACCTTTGTGGTGGGGACAGATTTCCAAAAATTCACCACAGTCCTGTTCTTAACTGGAGTTTGTGCTGATGCTGCCAGACAGCTGAGGAGCAGACTCGGAAAGCAGGAAGCATTACTGATGGGGCCTAGCGCCACTTTGGGAAAAGCAAATTAAAATGTAAAAGAATATTTTTCCACTCCTGGAGTCTCAACAGAAAATGGCAAAATACATGGTTGCTGAAAAAGTTCCAGAAATTGCTAATTTTGCCAGAAAGTAAAAACCAATTACCAGCTGTTTTTTTAAGTGATAAAAATGCACACGTACAGTCTAAGAAGGCCTTCCATCATCCAAATGAAACAGCTTTAGTTTACAACTCAGGGTCCATATTCCTTTAGTCCCAGCGGTGCTTTGGTGCAGGTGACTCATCTCTGTTGTCCTGTGTTTCAGGTGCTGCCTAAAGAATGGAGGATGACGACTTTGGTGGCTTTGAGGTACGTATCCTCTGTTTTTTAACTTTGGGCAACAGCAAACTATTACAAAAATGTGTTTACTTTCATTGTTTTCTTGATCTATTCTTTGTGTGGGTGCTGCATGTTCTCAAGTGTCCAGAGCCCAGAGAACGAACACTTATGTGTCTTATTTGGTCCTGTTCACTTTTTTATTTTGGACAGGGTCTTTCACTGGCCTGGAACTTGTCAAGTAGGCTATACTGTCTGGCTAGCAAGTCTCAGGGATCGGCTTACCGAGCACTGGGATTACAAATGCATGCCACCATGCCCAGATTTTTTAAAAATGGGTCCTGAGGAAGAAATTCTGGTTCTGTATTTGCAAAGCAAACAGTTTACCAACTGAGCTCTTACCTCTCCCCTCACGGTCCATTCTGAACCTTTTTTTTTGATGTAACTCTGAGACAGAGATTGAAATCAAGGAGAGTTAAGAGGTATCATCCACCAGACACTGAGGTGTTGCTGAAGCGCTGATCTTGCCATAGGGATGGTTTAAATCGGGGTAATTAATGAGGCTGGTGGAGCATCAGGAAGAACTCAGACTGTCAGAGGAAGATAGGGACACGTCTGTCAGAATGGGAGTCGGAGCCTGTCACAGCCCTGTTCACATCTGTAATGAGTGGATTTCCTGTGTGAGACACACAGATGTCCAGTGTTGCTGATCATGCTGTGCTGTTATGTGGCTCTCTCAGGTTTTGGTGGAACATTTGTAAGTAAGTGTTGTTAGCTGAAAATGTAGTGTCTTTTCCTTGGTCCTTTTCAGTGTGTGTTCATTTTATTGGAATATTTTATAACCCAGTTATTTTTACAGAACCAGTGTAGTCTTGCAGGAAAATCTCTGGATTAAGAGTCAAATGCAGGGCTCAAGTCTTGGAACCATCCATTGCGCACGCTCAGAGGGTCTCTCTCTCTCTCTCTCTCTCTCTCTCTCTCTCTCTCTCTCTCTCTCTCGTCTGTCTCTTTCTTTTAGTTGTTCGCCTAGTTTGGATTTGGTAAAAAGAGAACTATAAAAGTTAGGGAGTGTAATTAATGTTAGTAAGAGAAGTGGGGCATTATTCAAGAAAGAATGATGTGGTTCTTTTTAGCAGCAGGTCATTTCCATCCATCTCTCATAGCTGCCAGTGTAGACACACATGTTCTCCATGTGCAGGCAAGTACTACAGACAAACATGTTCTCCATGTGCAGGCAAGTACTACAGACACACATGTTCTCCATGTGCAGGCAAGAACTACAGACACACGTGTTCTCCATGTGCAGGCAAGTACTACAGACACACATGTTCTCCATGTGCAGGCAAGTACTACGGACACACATGTTCTCCATGTTCAGGCAAGTACTACAGACACACATGTTCTCCAAGTACAGGCTGTCAGTGTGGACATACATGCATCATTCCATGTCTCATCCCAAACTGCCTTTCAAAAAGCTCATTTGAGTGTTTCATACTTTTGTTTAATGGGTTGTGTTTTTGAATCTTATTCATGTTAAATGGAACATTTAAAAATTTGTTAAAATTCATTGATATTGAGGACAAGATGTGTTTCATACTATCCTGTGGCTTGCCTTGGTGCTTGGAAGCTATTATTTAAGGGCCCCATCCAAGCGTATTCTTGTGTCTAAAGCATAATGGATCCACAGAAAGGCCACAGTTGGTTGTTGCGTTCACAGGTGACTCCTGAATTCAGTCCTCTCAACACTAGAGGCAGCGTTAGCTGACATGGTTTCATTGTATTCGCCTGGTGTTCTTGCTTCTCAGCCCTGCTCTGGAAGAGTGGAAGGACTTTCCTGTGTTCAGTACTGTGTGCTCACTGTCACAGCCAGTGGACAGCGCGGCCTTGTCTGCTCTCTGCAGACTGCGTCCTTTGCCGCCTGGGCTGCCTGGCAAGTCAGTGCAGAATAGAAGTCCAAATTATGAAACCATGACTCTGACTTCAATAATAATCTTGCTTTAATGGTTATCTGAGAGACAGAACACTTTGTGCTCTCTCTGTAAACCTTGTCTTAAGTAGCTGCCCCCAAGCAGGAGAGCCCAGTCATCAAAAATGCTGCCTTTTGTAATTCTTCAGTGGTTAGTGCTCAGGAGACCAGAGTAGATGTTCAAGAAGACACACTCACCTGCTCTTTCAGAGTCTCTAAGTCTTATGCTAATTTAAATGGTCTTTTTAAATAAAAGATTTGCTCAGTCTGTTTTTAAGGAAATTTTTACATGGGTGGATAAATGTGGTGAGTTAGAATAGTTGATGTAAAGTTCACAAGTGAAAACATGATGAAAGATACATGAAATGAACATTTCATTGGCATCAGGTTGGTGGGATATGGAAGAAAAACTTTACCTGGGAACTGGGGCCTGGGCACTGTAGGTGGGGCCAGTGCAGGGGTGGAGCAGAGAGGTGTTCAGAGAGAGTGAGTGAGTGGCGTGTCGCAGGAGTGTCCCTGTGGGGCCGAGTGTGACTCCTGATTAAAAAGTACAGCTCTTCAGGTTTTTTCAGATGGTCTTGCCTTGTCTTACAGGCCGCAGAGACCTTTGATGGCGAACACAGTGGAAACCAAGCAATGTCCCCTGCTGTCCCCTGGGCCACCTTTCCTGCAGGTACTACCTCCTGAGGATTCTTTTTCTTGCATTTAAAGATTTTTTGCTGCTTTTAAAACCTATTTCTCATTTTTTTTCTCTTTTTCTGATCTGAAAATGTAGTGTCCTAGATATATCCTGAATCCAAATTTTCTTTCAAAGTATGAATCGCATTGTACATTCAATGCTAGCTTGGAGGCTGGTTGTAAAAGGAGATTAGGAACACTGAATGAACCTTAAGTACAACATACATTGTTCAAATTTATCTTGGTTTAGGAAGGTGTTGAGAAGCTTCCTGGGTCGTCTGTGCATGGCAGACTCCATTTTACATCTTAATTTATGATGTCCATTACTATTCAAATATAGTAGTTTCTTTATAGTAAAACTATTCAAAAGTATTACAAATTAACAATAACAGTTGGCCCATACATGTTTTCAAAAAGTGCTCCATATCCTACCCATCTTGAAATGCACATAAAATCCACTCTGAGACCCCACTTCACTTCAGAATGCTTATGATGTAGGAAACAGTGGTGGGGATGCTGGAGGGGACAGAGGAAAGAGGAACTCTAGCTACTGCTCTCGGGAACACAAACTAGTGCAGACACTCCTGAAGTCAGTTTGAAGGTTTCTCAGAAAGTAACAATGGAACCACCACATTCCCCAGCTCTGCCACTCCTGGGTATAATAAGCCTTAAGGGCTCAGTGCCTCACTGCAGAGACCCGCACATCCATATTCCATGCTGCTCTTCTCACAAGAATAAGGAGAAGACATTGAGTAATGACGTGAAGACGTTGTAAGAGGCTGTGGCTTTGTGTCTTAGTTTGGATGCTCACAGTGAGGGAATGGAAGTGGAAGGAGACGCCAAATTCTGTGAGGTGAGGAAGAGAAGCTCCTTCCATGCCTGGATGTGAGAGGTAGTCTCCAAGAAGCTCTTGTCCCTGGTGTCAGAGGCTGTAGGTAGGCTGATGAGCCAGCAACTTCTCTCATCCCTCTTCTCTCTCTTCCCCTCACTTCCCTGGAAAAAAACTCAGATCTGAAGATGGTGTTCTTCTGATTTCCTTATTGGTTTGCAGAAATGACATTAGCAGGCCTGGCTAAAGGCTGACCTTGAAGCTGTGGTTTCTGCTTCTCTTTTATACATCTGCTGATGCTGCATGCAGGTAGATGCAGGCTACAGGATTTATCCACTTTCGTGGAGGTCATTTCCAGGAATGGGACGTGAGTGGGTTACTAGGCATGACAGTCCCTTCTACACCATACCTGTCTTTCATCTATTTAGAAAAAATGTTTTCATGGATATATCTGAGAAAATAACGTAAACATTTGGTTTAAGTTTTAAGTATTTTGGGGAAGATGAAAAGGTTAGTTTTCAGGGTTAAGATAAGACTTTTGTTAAGTAGTGAGTATAAGAGGTTTGTTTTCCTAGTGAGTGTACAGCTTCAAGACAGGGCTAGATGACAGTTTTTAAACCCCACTGGGGATAATTAATGTCTCTCTTTAAATGTCTATTTATAGCCTGCAGTTCTTTGGGGGTTCCAGTACCTTACGCTGTGTCACTGACAGGCAGTACTGACGGTGGATGGATGAGTGGCAGGATCCGCTCCACACTGCCCTGCACACACCCTCTGCTCCCATCCTCTTCATCATGTGCAGTCTCTGACCATCTTAGTTACTTCTCTTGTGATCAGGTAGCTGATAAGAAACAACCTAAGGGAGGAGGGCTTATTTTGGTCCATGATTTGAGGGGATCCAGTCTGTCATGGTGACAAGAGTGTGAGGCAGCTGTCATGGTGCACCCGTAGGCAGGAAGTGGAGAACAGTGGATGCTGGTGTCCAGCTCATTTTCTCTGTCCTCAGTCTTCACCCAGCCCATGAGGTGCTGCCATTCTGTCCTGCCCTGCCCTATACACAGGGTGAGTTTTCCCTCCTTGGTTGGACCTTTCTGGAAACTTTCTCACCCAGAAGTGTACCTCCTCAGTGAAGACTGTCACGTAACCTGAAATGCACAGTGACACCCATGTTATGGAATTGGAGAATGTAATGGAAGATGGTGAGCATGAAACCATGGCCCCCTTCTCACTGCAGCCCACAGCGTTGAAGTGATTACTTCGTTCTAGTGAGAGCTGGCCGAGGAGAAGAGCTGCCTGCCTTGAGGCCGTTTTCTAGTTGTGCTGTGATCAGCACCTGAAGCTCTGTCATGTGTCGTTTTGTTCCATTTGCTTGGTGCTTGATGTCTCCTAATTCGTATTTAAAATCATGATGAAGTTGGCCGTCTTGGTTATTTTAATGTATAGGTTATACTGTATCTTGTATAGCTGAAACTTCATACTATTAAATACCAGTGACTTCCCCTCCCCCTTCCCTTCACTCCTGGCAGCAACTGGCTTGCTTTGTCTCTGAGTTTGGATCCTCGGGTGTATGCGTGGTGATTTCACAGGCTGCAGTTCCGTGACTGGCTTAGAGCACGTTTCATTCATGTTGCATCATCTGCCCCAGTTTCCTGCTCTGTTAATCCTAATACTCCATTTCTCATTCATTCATTATAGACACTTGGGTTCCTTTAACCTCTGGCTATTTTGCATAGTGACACTGTGAGGATGGTTGTTACGTGATCTTTAACTATAGTCTTGTGTATGACTCATCGTTATATGCCCGTTTTAGTCTTTTTATGGCAGAAAGTTGGTTTGAATCCTTTGGAAGTACAACCGCTAAGGAAGGTAGTGATACGTGAGCCAGTGCTCTGTGACTCTTGGTGACTGGTGAGTAGATTTACCTGCAGTTATCTCTCTTGGTTATTTTCAATCCAAGGCGAATAAGTAAATAGTCTGAGTGATAAGATGTAAGAGCAGAAAACTAAACTTTGCTTCAAAAATATATCAACCTTGGAAACCTTCAGTACTTGCTAAGAGCTGGGTGTTTCTGTGTCTGAGTCAAATGTTGTGATGACTTCCATGGATGTATGGAAGTCATGTGTGGAAGATGTACGACCTGGAAGTGATGCTCCAGTCACAAGGCCTGTGACCTGGCTCAGGGAGTAACACACCTGACTCCTGATACCTCAGTTCCGCCTCTGGAGCCCGGGGCAGAAATAGTCCCCCGACTTCCAGGGGTGCAGTGGCAGGCACTCTGCCTGCATGCACATCGCACATGGTGGCTCTTGTTTTTAAAGAGGCCATGGATGCTTGGAAGCACAGAGCAGTTACTGTGCTGATCTTTTCTTCTATCTCCTGGCTTCTCCTGTATGACAGAAATAGTACATGTTTGGTCACGTTTTAATTTACTGCAGGTCCAGGAGCAATAACGGTTGCGTCGTCTCTGTGTTTCATTGGCCATTTATTTTTCTAACACGTTTTCTGAAGGAAAACCATTTCAGGATTTGTGTGGTTGATAATTCAACAGCATTCAGCATGGTTGCTCATAAGAGTATAAGAAAGCAACAATTTTTTTTTACTAAGAAATCTTATTTATGAAATTGCAAAATAATTATTTTTTTAATGTCTATAAAAGGAGGACTGTTCTCCTTTCATTTCCCTGAAATTAATGACTGTCTGCTGATAGAATGAGCATGTAAATACTTGTGCATGTGAATATGAAAGCTTATGTATATATGGAGACCCTGGGGATGTGGGCTGTGGAGTCTGCCTTGACTGCTCTGTGTGGTGATGTCTTCTCCGCACCTGCTTTACCCTTCCACACTTGTTGTGCTCCCCTCTCCCCTCTGCCCCTCCCCTCCCCTGGACCCCTCCCCTCTGTTACTGTGACAGAAAGAAGGAGTCATCTGTACTTGACTTGCTCAGTTCTTAGTACTCCGTTGTCTTGGTTTGGCATCTGTATGCATTTTTTTTTTAAAATTTCTTTATTGTGCCTCTTTTCATAGCAGACCCAGAGTTTTAGAATTCCTGGAATTTATTAGGTTGTTTCTGTGTTCACCATTGATTCATTCCTTTGCCACAGATTCAGAAGGCTCTTGAAGTGTCAGGCTCACAGCTCTGTGCGTTGTGGACTTCATTTTCACTGACTGACTGTGGAAGCTGTTGCCTGGGAGGACAGAATGTTTCCCCCGATGCGTTTTTCGTGTTGGCAGACCTTCTACCCCTAATCTTAGTTAGCTTCAAGTCTTTGATAGTAGTTGCCTACAGTGAATACTAGGTCGGGACGTGTTATGAAGCCATTTCGTACAATGTGGGTGGCACAGTTTTAAGAGGCAAAAGATTGTTCGGTTTTTGCTTTCGACCGTCAAATGTAAGTTGTGTAGAAGGCGAGGTGGGAGGCACAAACCTTGAATACTGTCCTTTCCAATAATGCTTCTGAGTTCCTTGCAGCTCTGCACAGACCACATTAGAATTCAGTGACCATCAAAGGGAAAAACAAGTGGTCCAGATAGATACTTTAATCCAAATTAGCTCCTTCAAAACAGCTTATAAAGAGGGCAGACTAAACTGTCTGTCACAAGCCGGCCCTGCAGAAGGAATAATGGGAATTGGACCAGCAGATGCAGAAGCAAGTGACTTAGATGTGGTTCCTTCGCATCTGGAGCTATTTGCATACAAAGCCAACAGGAAAGTTCAAACATTCCTCTCAAGACCTTGGCAGAGGGGAACCTGGAAGACAGATGCCTTTTTGATTTCATGGTTCTGTCTTTCCGTTCTCCACTCTCCTGGCCGGAAAGCCTAGGACAGCAAATCGGTCGTTTTACTAATCCTCGCTCCTCTCTTCACTGGCCCTGCTCTTCCAGGGGATCCGTGTTATGCATCTCGAGGGCTCAAGACCCGAGTCTACACATTTTTTTTTTTTGTATATTTTTTATGAGCGGTTTGCATGTTTGTGCGTGGTAGTAAAAAGCACTAGATTCTTTGGTCTGATCTGCATCTGTGGTAGGTTTGGAAAGTGACCCGGTACTTGTTCACATACCTGTGTCTTACAGGCAGCGTAACCGGCCTGGCAAACGGCATTTAAAGAGACTCTGTGTCTCAGTCTGACTAAGAGACCAGTGAAGTAATGGGCCTCCCAAAATGAA